GTGTGTGTGCCTGTGGGGTTAGGGCCTACGACCCCGCGTTTGTGGGCACTGCGGACCGGTGGATGTGGGAATGTTAGCGTGTGTGGGGTGAGAACGACCAGTCGACGAGTGGCTCGGACACGCCGGAAAACAGTGCAACGCGGTGAAATGAGATTGAGCAACCTCGGGGCGCCTGGGTGGCTCAGTCGGTTGAGCGTCAGAGTCTTGATCTCAGCTCAGGTCTTGATCTCGGGGTCTTGTGATCAAGCCCCGCGTCGGGCTCCTTGCTGGGTGTGGAGCCTACTTAAAAAAAAAAAAAAAGAAAAGACTGAGCAAGCTTTCTGTGGTTGACCTTGGTGGGGGGTGTATGGCATAAAGCCGCCTAAGCCTGACGAAGCTGTAGAAAGTATTAGCCTTGTTAAGTACAGGATATCGTGGGGACTTTTCCCCAGGTGATTGCAGATGGGGAAGTAGGGGTTGGCCGCCGTACCAGGCAGCACCTGGATGCTTGGTGCCGGAGTTCGTCCCAGGTCTCACGGGAGAAAAGGGTCGACCAGCTGAAGCCTTTGGAGCTGCTGAGCTGGATTCTCCCGTGACACCCAGTGCCCCGGGAGAGTTCGGTGCTTCTCACAGCTGGTTAGCATCGAAGGGCTTTCGTACTCTGGGGATAGTCACTTGCTAGCATACTTTCAGAAACACTGGCTCCGAACCAAAAGTGTGTTTCTTGTTTCGCTGAGCACCTACTCTGTGCCAGGCCCTAGAGAGCCAGTATGGCCCTGTTCTCCCGGAAGTTGGCCGGGGACAGAGGATCGGATGAACGCGGGTGAACACAGAACTGAGATCGAGGGGAGGAAGATGCAGGAGGAGGGGGGCGTGGGGACTCCCGGTCACACGCATGAAGCGCCTTCCTGGGGGTGGGGGGAGTGGGTGTGGTGGAAAGCCCCTGACCTGCAGAGGGCTGACTCTGGAGGCTTTGGTGACCTTTCTGGGAGATTTGGGGGAGAACTGGGCATGTCTGAGCTGCGGATGGGGAGGTGGCTCTAGGCGGTGAGCTGGGAGGGAAGTGTGGGGGTGGCCGAGGAGCGTGGGTGGACAAGGTGGGGTCTGTGAGCTTAGATGGTCAGATGTGGGGGCGATGGTGGGCTTGATGGGCCCATGTGCTCTGTCCGCCGGGGCCTCCCCAGGCGCTACCTGTCTGCACGTGGCGTGATCCTCCCGGAGTACACCAGAGCCCCTGGGGCTTGACGGCAGCTGCTTGTGGGGGCAGCGCTGGGATCTGAACCTGGCATGGTGGCTTCCAAACCATGTTCTCTCAGAATAAACTGGCTCCAGGAGCGTGAGGATGAGGTGAGGGAGGGACACTCACTGAGCCGGGGGTCCTTGCAGGGGAGTATGGCCTTGGGGGGGAAAGACCAGGAGACCATGTGGCTGGGGCACCTTTGACCTTTGTCACTTCGGACACGCAGGTCTGGGCAGGAGAGGCCAGCTGGAGTCCTGGCCAGAGGTGGTCAGCAGGGCCTCAGGGGTGACAGAGAGGACAGTCGTGGCGGGGGGTGCTCAGTGACCAGTCTACAGAGGTGTGAGGGCATTCAGGCAGGGGGTGCGTGTGACGGGAATGGGACCCAGGTGCAGCCTCGAGGAGCCATGGCCCAGGTGGCCCGTGGGCAGGAATGGATCAGCATCAGAGCTAGAGCATGAATAATCACACACGAGAGAAAAGCTGGAGGGCCTGAGGCTCTGGGGGCTAAGGGTCCCAAAGTGGGTCACCCGTGGGGGTCGGGGAGCCTGGGGACAGAGATAGGGCTCGAATTAACCAAAG